ATTTTTAGGCGAAGCCGAACTACTCTAAACAAGCTGAATCAAGCTGGATGATCCACCAAATGGCGGCCAGCTGCACGCTTATATTTTTTCAGAATTCTTCTTGATTGTAAAATTGGCTAGACCTACTGAGAGACTGTTATACTCTTGTTAAAACAAATTGATGACAGGCAGAATTTTTAATCCAAGCGAAATTAAATACTCAACATTTAGCAAAGTAAAGGCATATAGGATTAACGAGGATTAGATGATTAACGAGGACAGCCACTGAAGGAATAGCTGTACCGTAGAGTCCTGAGTCAATATTGCTACTCCCTCGTAGGTTACCGTTGGATCGGCAATCTCGCTCGCACTTTTTGATGCGTTGACAAGAACTGTTTCGACTCGATTTTGATGTAGAGTTGCAAATAAGCGTCAAATGTAATTCACTTTTTTTACTGGAGTAAAGACTTATATTATGTGAATTTTAATGACGCTGGATAGATGAGTTCCTGCAAAACTCATCTAAGCGAACAAAAAAAGGAAGTTGTTTTTCGAAAAAATATTCTCGACAATTTAACAGAGAAACCCCCATGCTAGGCATAAGTATTTCCATATGATTGGTTGACACTTGACATGCAACTTTGCCTTTTGAGATACCGTAATGCGGTAGCCTGGTAGCTATCAATTTACGTGCACACATAATATCCAATCCATTTTTCTAAAAGTAATGTCTGCTACAGAAGCAGGGCTCGGCACAGCTGGCACCGGGTCAAGCTGGGCATCGTTCTTAGGGCGGAAAGCAAAGGGAATATCGTTCTTCCGGGGTCCGGAGCGGAGAAGAGCCGCAATGCCGCCGGCATGCTACCGGCATGCTGTCCATCAAACAAACAAAGACGTTGTTTTCAGCCAAAACGCGATAGTATGACACCAAATTTGGTGTGTGCATGCGCGTTGGGGGACCTGAGCTATGGCCCAAAAATTTATGAAAACTTATGTGAATGAAATCTGTGCTGAACTTTTTTCTGAATTACCTGGCACCGCGCCAGCTGGGTGCCAGCTGAGCTGGCACCGACACTTTGCTCACAAAAGTTTTCATGACTTTTTTACAGAAAACGTATCTATACCGTAAAAGTTTACATACAGAAGAGAAACAATTTCATAATGTTTTCTTTTCAGCGTTTTATAGCCACCTGAAAATTTCTCGGTCTGCTCCGCAGTCGAAAAATCGGCTTCTCCTGCTTCTCAACATGTAATTCAACCACTTGAAAAGCCCAGGAAACTGTGAAAAGTTGTTCCATGAAATCAGCATGCATGAACACCCCACTACATGCTTTGACATAATCTAAAAATAATGACAGGTCTTCAAAACAGTTCAAAAAAATGAATTTTGAAAATTTCGTAAAAAGGGGATTTGTATGAATTTCAAAACCAAGCGGGACTTCATTTTGAAGTTTCTCTGGTGCCAGTTCGTGCGAAGTTCTACGACAAAGTTACCGAGTGCAGAATCAGCTCGTCTTCGGTGCAAATTGGGTGCAAAATGGCGTTGCTGCCAGTTCATGACCTCTCAGGAACTCCGCTAATTACGTAGCGGAGTTATCGGGGTGTGTAAGTTCGGCCTATCGGGGTATGTAAGTTCCGTTCCCCAACAAAAAACTTTCCAACGTTGAAAAAAGTGCGAAGCGATCCGAGAGCTTTAGAAATTGATATTGTACAAAGAGGAAAATGAAAAATATGCGCTTGTGAGAAAAATAGAATCGCAGATTCCGTTGAACGCCACATCATGTCATCGCCTCGGTGCCTTTTTTCTTGAAATAAAATAAATCACAAGAAAAAATTCGATCATGTTTACTTGTTATCGTAAAATGTAAAATTTTGCTTTTGTACTGTCATTTCATTACAACATAACTTAGAGAAATATGTTCCCATACTAAGCGATGACCGGGATGAATGCGAATATCATGGCAAATGATACGCAAATGTTGAGTATAAACTAACAAGAGCTACCCATGTTGGAGGCCTACATGCACTTGGAATTTGAATTTGAACGGACACCTTTAGTTCTGGCATATCCTTACGTATCATGTATTCAAAATCACTCGAAAGCATAAACTGATTTTCGACCCGATTTGAGCTTGGCTTTAATTTGATACTGCGCTTGCAACCAAGACTGATACTGCGAAATTTACATTCTTTTGAATTATGATCATAAAATTGAAATTTTTCGCATCGTTACTAGGTTGTAACCTAACTCTTGTTGCACTTAAGCTTCTTATATCTATGAAGTCGTATGTTTCGTAATCTCAATGGGGCTCCAGGGTACCATTCGAAAGAGCAAAGCAAGCTCTACAAGAATTTGTGCAAAAACTCGCAATAGCTTCGACTCACCGTAATCTTGCATCCAGAATCTGAGTCGTACTGAAGGCTCAAATAATAGGGAGAAATTCATATCTTCGTTCAAAAAAAAAAAATAAAACTCCACGGATCTCCAACTTGCTCACACAAATCACAAAACATCAGACACACATGTATACCGTTTCTGAAATTTTCCTCATCTAGAAATCGAGAAAACAAAAATTTTCATGCTTATATAAAAGCGAAACTATGCTGTTCCCACGCATGTGATTTTAACTACAGGCTTTTAGAGTATAATTGAAGATTTCTAGCTTTCCACAAGCCCTGGTCTTCTAAAATCAGCGCATATAGCTTTCCTCCTTCGAATGTTCCATGCAGATCAATATTTCTCGAAAACTAGAGCTTGTGGAACGCTGAAAATTTACATTTCTATAGGCCTGTGTATATAATCACATGCGTGGAAGCCGCATAGCTTCGTTTTTGTACAAACATAAAAATTTTCATTTTCTTGATTTCTAGATGAGGAAAAAAACCAGAAATGGTACATATGAGTGTCTGATGTTGTGTGATTTATATTAGCAGTTTGGATATCCATTGGATTTGGTTGAACGAAGATATAAATTTTTTCCTATTTTTTGAGCCTGCAGTACGACTCAGATTCTGGATGCAAACTTATGGTGAGTCGAAGCTGTGCAAACTTTTGCACACCATCTAAATCTTGTAGAGCTTGCTCTGCTCTATCGAATAGCACGCTGGAGTCACGTCAAGGATATAAAGTATACAACTTATCGCCGTAAGAAGTCAAAGCGTAACAAGATTAAGTTACAATTTAATAGAATGTGATATTTAACATTACAACAAATCATGAAACTTATTGAAGCATCAAACTGCTCAGAACTCCAGTCACTGCTGCTGAAAAAAACCATGCAAAGCGTTCTGCTTTATTAGTTTTTTTGAATTTACCGATTACCACCTGGCATTGAAAAACGGCGTCTCTCCTGGGGGTCTTCCCCATATGCAGCCCAATAGTAGATCAAGCCTTGCCTCCCCAGGGCGTTGTGCTGCAAAGATAAGCTGACCCACTGCTAGGCGCAGAAGTAGAATATACGATTGTGGCTTTTCTGCGCCAGTGCACTGCTTGTTCTGTACCTCTCAGTTGCAAGCTGTTCTGAGGCGAAGCTTATTGAGAGCGATTTTTGTAAAGACTACTGCATGCCATCAGTTGACAAATGAGCAGTAACATGCAGGTAACCTCGAGTCATTTGTAACTTAATATGTGAGACTGCACATTAAGCCCTATTAGCGACGGCATCCTTACTGGTAACTTTCCAGTAAAACATTTTCTAGCTTAACAAAGTGTAGATTTATGTTCTATTGTCTAACATGTAATAAACAAAAATAAAAGGGACAGGAAAACAAGCAGAAATCACTGTAAATGAGCAGGTTCTAATTTTACAGTTCGTCAGTTAGCCTATTTAGTGTGCACTAGGCATATTAAGTTACGAATGACTCGACGATACACTTTTTTGAACGAGGTCGTTCTTTTCTTGAATCATCTTTATGTTGTCTAGGCTTTGCGTTTTTTGTCACCCTCGGGTTTTGTTTTTCCAACGAAAGAGCTGTCTAGCAAAACTTGTTCCAAATGATGGGCTGGTATTGTTAGTCGCTTCGACCTCTGAGTTCCCATTGAAGTCATAGCTGAATCTTATATATAATATAAAGCTGAATGTCTGTTTGTATGTCTGTATGTCTGTATGTATGTCTGTCTGTCTGTACCTATGTTCCGAATAGAAAATTCCATTTCTGAACCGATCGGGACCAAACTTGGCACACATACACTTCGGGCCCCGGCGGGTGTCATAGGCTACTTTTCGTATCGATCGATATCGATTTTATCGATTTTTTGCAAAATTTGAGCTACGGGGCTGGGAGTTGGCACAGGGGGGTTAGTGAGCATGGGGATTCCGAATACAATATTAGTTTTTAAAATCGTGCATTACTTTTATCGATTTTATCGATTTTTTTGCAAAGTTTGAGCTACGGGGCTGGGATTTGGCACAGGGGGGTAATCGAGCATGCTGATCACCCCCGTGGGGGTGATCGGCATGCTCGATTACACCCTTCTGCCAAATTCCAGCCCCCTAGCTTAAATTTTGCAAATAATCGATAAAATCGACATCGATCGATAACGAAAAGTGGACTGTGACACCCGCCGGGGCCCGAAGGGTATGTGTGCCAAGTTTGGTCCGGATCGGTTAAGAAATGGAATTTTCTGTTCGGAACATACGGCGGAGCCGGGTAAGCCAGCTAGTGTCTTTATATAATTGAAGATAAAGAGAATTGAATGTCAAGATCAAAATGGAAGCACTTCTCCTTACAGATGCTCTATACTCTTTATCACCCTATATGCAATCCTTACTTATCACTCGTCACGCTTCTACAACAATAGAAAAGCAACAAATTCGCATTTTCGTAGGATGTTTGGTGGTCAATACTAATATTATGCTCCTTGGTAAGGGTTCTCGTAAGAAAAGACTTTTTTAGTTTTTTTGAAATTCCACTTAGCGTTTCTCAATTCTCGACCCGCCATGCGAAGCCGCTACGTATTCTACACTTTAATGAGTATAGGTGACATGCTGAGCGGGACGTATCTTATTTATCCCAGCATAATGCGAATTAGTGAGATGGCCAACGGCACATTTTTGGGAGGTACGCAGCGTTGAGATTGAAAAAACAAGTGAATGTTCAACGTTTATTAAAGGTGTGTCACTTTGGGAATGCGCAACTAGAGGTTATATGGTATTCAGCATTTTCGGCAGAGAACTTGTTTCGTTATCTATGCTTTTCATGGCGGCAGAAAGAATATTTGTCGTCTTGTCAATTGGAACGTACCGGTAACTTGTAATGGCTTTTCACACAAACGCTAGAGATAGGCGGGCACCGGAAAATACGCGCTGTTGACCTCTCGCACTTTGCTTGCAGATCAGAAGTTCGCCATTTTTTGCTAATTACTTGTGGACCCCGTCTCTCAGATCTTTTGCAGATACATGCTTACCGCAGATACCTGCAAAAGAAGAAATCAACAAGCGGTCTTTCAAAAAATTCTGAGCGCTTTTTAAGCAATCTGCGTTCAAAATTCGGTCATTTCTTTTACCGAAACCCTTCTGCCCTCAACCACTGTCTGAGTTCTTAAAATTGTCTGTTCTAATAAGCACCCTTTTGCAGACTGTATGCAACACCCGTAGCCCGATTCGTGGCAGTCGCAATTTGTCTGCTTGTTTGCTTGATCTCTATACTAATTATGTTCCTCACTTCATATTATGACAGCCGCATTGAGGTGGAAGATGATAAATATTGTGGAATTTCCGGGAGGTTGCTGAAATAATTGTTGCTCTGAGTGACCGTCTAAGGCAAGGCACACTATTTTCAGTGTCACCGAGGATTTCGCCTACGTTTACAAAATTTTCAACGTTTTTTGCCAGGTTCATCGAGATAGATATCCCATTCCCATTCTCACGCATATACGTATATCTGATTTAAGACACCTTTCTTCACGAATGTGTCTTCAACAAAATTGTGTGGAAAAGAGTTTTCCGCAAAATTATACGCTCAAAGTTTGGCTAAATGTTGCCATTTGCTAATTTAATTAGTTTGACAGCGCTGCCGGCGTGCGGCGCAGCCAGCGTTTCCTTAGTGAGCGCATGACCCATATCCGCACGCAGTAAAGTTGTTAAATTCTTACAGCCGGAATGACACCAATAACACTGGCAATGCCGAAATCGTCACATCATAGATACGCGTAATCCGGATCGAGACAATTTAGAACCGATACGTGCTAGGCGGCGGCGTGCTGGCGTGCACATGCGATGCGACTACGATGTAGAGCGTATCAACCAGCTCGGTCTCGCGCAGATATGCCTTGCGGAAAGGCACCGTCGCATGCGACGTGTCGGCGCGTTCGAGTAGCAGTGTTCTCACGCGTTGCACCGCAAAATCGTGAGATCCTGCAGATGCGACGTCGCAGGATCGATGCTGTTGATACAGCGTATATGCTGCATAGCGCGACTACGGAATCTACTCGTACTTTTCCTTTACAGATTGGAAGCTTCTTAGGCTCTGGATCTGCGTATATTCTTGCTAGAAGTCTAGCAAAAGAGGCACGGTCGAAGGAGATCAAGTTAATCAAACCGATTCTTGTTGTGAGCTTCATCTCAAGTGCTGTCACATGTTCTGGCGATATTGCATGCTCATTAATAATTATTCCAATTTCAATTCGTTGACGGATTCGGTAAGTTGAGAATTTCCAATAGGAAGTGGGACTACAAAAACCATTCTTGAAGAAACAGAAAAAAATCTTTGCATTCAATACACCGTACAGCTTAGTGCAATTAAATTCTAAGTGATGCAACCTTCATTAAAGTTAGTACTGGAGGAATATCAAATTTGGTCAAATCTGGCCGAAAAAGTTAATTTTGAGGTAAATTTGATATTGCTCAAAAATCTTTGTAGAACGTTACAAGTTCACGATTGTACTCTAAAGCCTTCTAGTTTGCAGTTAGAAGTGCTAAAATGACTCAGTGCTGCTTTGGCTATAATTGAAAATTTCGTTTTCTCCATTTTTATAAAGGGAAAAATTGCGTCAAATGAATACATGGATGTATTATGGGGAAAGTATGAGGTTGCTTCAAAGGTGATGTACGTCTGAATTTCAACTTTGAATCTAGATGACTCTTTCAGAAATTATCTTTTTCAGCGCAATCATAGCTATTGCAAATATTAGGTCGTAACAAAATTAGTGCAGGTTTTACATTCCAACCGCAATAAGTCATACACTTCTCATTTCTAACTGGATTGCAAAATATCATTCGATAGAGCAAAGCAAGGTCTACAAGGTGGCAATCTTGCTTTAGCAACAACTCTAATCCACCACGAGTTTCGAACCAAAAACTAAAAAGATTTAACTGTCCGAAAAATTGAGAAAAATCATAACTCAGTTCATTAAAAACCTACAAAAATTCTAACTTGCTCACGTAAACACTATTCACATAGGACATCTATACACGTCTTTGCCGTATTTTTTTCTCTGTTAGAAATCAAGTAGACGGAAATTTTCATACATTTGCCAAAGTGTTGCTGTGCCGTTCCCACATACTACAAATCTGTAGAAGTACAAACGCAAATTTTCAGCCCTCTACAAGCTTTAGTTCTCGAGAAATTTGAATTTTAGCTTGGACCACATGACTAGCGAAAACTGTATTCGATATTTTTCGAGAACTAAAGCTTGTAGAGAGCTGGAAATTCACGTTTATACTTCTACAGGTTTGTAGTATACAACTACTTATGTGAGAACGGCACAGCATCACTTTGGCAAACGCACGAAAATTTCCATTTTCTTGATTTCTAACAAAGAAAAAAATTCGGCAAAAGCGTGTACAGATGTCTTATGTGAATAGTGTTTACGTGAGCAAGTTAGAATTTTTGTAGGTTTTTTATGAATTGAGTTACGATTTTTCTCGATTTTTCGGACAGTTTCATACTTTTAGCTTTTGATTCGAAACTCGTGGTGGATCAGAGCAGTTGCTAAAGCAAGATAGCTATCTTGTAGAGCTTGCTTTGCTCTATCGAACGATGTTTTGCAACCTACTTAGAAATGAGAAGCGTATGACGTATTGCGGTTGGAATTTAAAACCTGCATTAATTCTGTTACAACCTAATAGCAAACATTCAATACAACACACATTTACATGCTGTTGTCTAGTTGCAGCAATAAGGAGGAAAACTCTCGAAAATTTCCAAAAATTTTGGCGAAAACCTCTACTTGAGAAAGCTCAGATTATTTTAAATGTAGGGGACGAGTGGCGCATTAGTATGAGGCACCGCTAAGACCAGATCCCTAGGTTCCAACCCCGCCCCTGGGCCAATCAAGCCCTCTACCCTTCTGGGCCGGTAAATTAGTACCAGAGTAATCTAGGAGGATAAAGCACTGACTTGATGATCGGCTAGCCCCGCAACTCATTGTAAAAGGTCTGCACGCATTCATCTGCCTCTTCGACTACGATGTAGAATGCGTTTGGAGCATGCTCGCAAAGCGTACTGAAGATCCCGAAGCCTTTATCCTTTATCTTTCTACTTCAGACGTACCTGGACGGCGCAGACTTTGCTCATTGTATGATGGTCGGTCTAGCGGTTCAGTAGAGTCTGGATTTCACATGGATTTTTTGCCTGAAAATACTGCAAAAAATCAGAGATATACCCACATTATTCCACACCTCAAAAAGGCAAAAAACCGCTTTTCTAACTCTAAGTCTAGTTTTTTTAGAACATAAGAAAAGCCCGTGCGCTTGCTTTCTACGCAAGTTGTGTTAGATGCCCTAGGTGAACAGAACGAAATTGCTGCAATTGCTTCTCCTTTGAGATCACTATACAGCCAAAATTGCCGCAGCAAGCCGCCAAGTTTTGGAGTTGAAATTTTCTGGGTCGGTAGTAAACCTATCGAAACTCAGAGTTATAACTCAGAATTAACTCTGAGTTATCTCTGAGCTAACGCGCAACATTTTGACCCCCTTAACAGGTGTTTGAACAGATCAAATCCGGAAAGCGATGATATGGCAGGATTCTCCTTAACACGTAATTTATTCCTAGTAGCGCAACATTGTCCAAATCGTCCTGCACAAGAAACAGCGCCACCAAACGCGCAACTAGTGTCTGCGATAACTCTGAGTTTTATGCGCGTTACAGTCTATCGTGTAACTCAGAGATAACTCTGAGTTTGGTCAGAGAAAGAGAAATAGCGCGCAAAAGAAGAGGGGCAGCTAAAAAGTCCTCCGGGGTACATTTTGCTCGTAGTTCATGCAGGCATGATAGGGGTATCGTGGTGCGCAGTGATTTACAAAATTTTGAAATTTTGTAAAAACTTGGCCCAGGGGGTTATTCGGTGCGCTAATCACGCATATGGTACCCATTTTTCACTATGGAGTCATGTAGAGGTGTTACGGTAGGTTTACGGTAGATGGGAAAAATCACGAAACTGATCGAAACTTGGCACACTGGGGTTATTCGGGGCGCAGATAACGAATATGACATGCAGATTATACTGTGGTGTCATCTGACGAGGTTACGGTAGGTTTACGGTAGATGGGAGAAAATCACGAAACTGATCGAAACTTGGTACACTGGAGTTATTCGGGATGCAGATTACGGACAATCTACCTGCTACATACACTGTTGACATATGGAACGGTTACGGTAGGTATACGGTAAGTAAGACGAAATCATGGAAGGGCAACTTTGCCCGGAGGATTTATTCTGTGCGCAAATCCTAATAGTCAATTCTTATTATTGCGTATGCCATCCGCTTTCTATATTGTTTGAAGCTTTCAGCTGCGCAAAAGACCAATCCTCGTGATGAACCATCACTGCCCGATGGAAATGGAAATGAGTGAGGGTTTGGTATAACTTGTTTTGACCTGCTAAGTGTTAATGGAATGAGTGAGTACATTATGGCAAAGCAATTTTAGGGTTCATGGGTGTGCCATGGTCTAGCGGTTTAGTGATAGGATCTTTACGCTAGACCATACAGGTTCGAGTCCCTACTTTAACGTCGCTTTTGCAGCAAAGTGCTTAACAGCTTTTCAAAGCAAAACTCCGAGCTTGAGAGTTGCAATTCGGAATTACGAAAGCGGAACTCAGAGTTTCAATAAGCGTAACTCAGAGTTTCAAAAACAGAACTCAGAGTTATCTCTGAGTTAACGCGGAGCTTCAAACTCGGAGTTTAAATCAGATTACTACCGACCCTGGTTTAAGAACACAATGCCGCAATTTTTATGCATTTTTTACGGCAATTTCAACTTTGTCGCGGCTCGCGATGCAAGCCACTCCTCGAAACAGGAGGCCGGGAGCGCTGGCTATCGCGTTACTTGGCGCGCTTTCAAGATCGCGCCAAGACCTCTCCTGCTGGGAGCGTTGCCAAGTCACAGGGTACATAAGGGCGCGCAGGCCGCGGTCTACGCCTCTTCGAGTTTCGTTCGTTTTGATCGTTTCATGAGATCGTTTGTGCTGGCAGCGCCTCCAGCAGCTCCCGCAGATGATCATCGGTTTCGAGCGGTTGAGCTTTGGTCATCGTCTTGGTTTTGGAGACGCGCAGCTAACATCATGATTTGTCTTGCGTAGGAAGCACACTAGCGGGAGTGGAGAGAGGTCATACCGTCCCGGAAGGGCTAGGGGCTTGCAGTTGACCCAGCGGAGAGCCCGGAACTAAGCGTTGGAGTGATCATCACCGAGTATCGGCAGCACGGGACAAGGCGGCTCGTCCCGTGCCTAGTTTTCCTGAGTTTGAAGTAGTTTTTTTAGTAACTTTAGTAGTTTTAGTGGTTTTCGTAGTATTAG